TTTTTTTGAGTTGGAGCCTCACTCTGTCACCCAGGCTGGAGTGCAGTGGCATGCTCACAGTCTCAACCTGCTGAACTCAGATGATCCTTCCACCTCAACCTTCCAAGTAGCTGGAACCATAGGTGCATGCCACCATGCCCAGCTAATTTTTTTGATTTATTGTAGACATGAGGTCTCGCCAAGTTGCCCAGGCTGGTCTTGAATCTGTGGGCTCTGGCAATCCTCTCACCTCAGCCTCCCAAAGTGCTGGGATTATAGGTATGAGCCACCACGCCCAACTCAAAGTGGTTTTAGTTTGCTTTTCCCCAATTACTTAGGAGATATAGCATTTTTTTACTATGGTTTCATGAAGAGTGTACATGTATGTTAATTTAATATCCAAAAAACCACTGCAAGAAAAATTAAAGATGAACATTTTAGTTAAACTGAACACTGGTATAAAGACTGGCAACAGAAATCAAAGACAAGTGTTTTTATTTTTTCCTTATTAGACTCTACATGTATTATCTAAATTTTGTTATTTTTTGTTTCAATCAATAATTCAGGAGTAAGAAACTTAAAAATTCTGATTAGGGAAATAATTTCAGAGCCAAGAGAGAATTTATTTGCAAAAATCTTACCATGACTAGTGTTAGTAAAACTTAAAGGTTTATGTACTGTTTAGTCTAAATATAAATTTTACAAATACTAATTATAAGCTAGAAGTATTCACATGATCAGCTAATGGTTATTTATTAAGTACACCACTCATGGGAGATTCAAAGAGATCATTAAACACCATACAACAATTAAGTAAGAGTTATAGGACTTCCAAAAGACTGAATTGCCACATACCCAAGTAATGCTCGTGTACTCTAACAATCTCACAAAGTCCAGGGTCTTCAGAATCCAGAGGTAAAATCCCTAAAAATTAAGATAAGAACTTAAGAGAAACAAGCCAAAAATGAATTCATTCCTAGCAAGAGGCCAGTAAGAATTCTCTCTTTTTTTTTGCCTCCGAGTGACAATAAAGATGATGATTAATGTTAGAACCAAGCCAGAGTCTTGGGGCCTCTGGCTTCCTTGTTAAGACCCTGATGCATGGCTACCATCCCATTGTTTGGTTCCATTAGATACCTTGGTATGCTTCCAAGAAAATCCCACTTTTTCCCCTAAGCTAGTCTGATTTTTTTTTTTTTTGAGTTGGAGTCTCACTCTGTCACCCAGACTGGAGTGCAGTGGCCGCTCCCGGCCACTGCAGCCTCGACCTGCTGGGCTCCAACGATCCTTCCGCCTCAGCCTTCCACGTAGCTGGAACTACAGACACCGCTACCATGCCTAGTTAATTTTTTATTTATTGTAGAGATGAGGTCTCGCCAAGTTGCCCAGGCAGGTCTCGAACCCACGGGCTCAGGCAATCCACTCACCTCAGCCTCCCCAAGCGAGGGATTACAGGCTGAGCCACCGAGCCCAGCTAGCTAGTCTGATTTTATTTTTGGTGTCTTACAAAAAGAATCTTGAGTAATACAGTGTCAGTGACTTGGGCAGAAAGAAAGATAAAGATATATCAATTCTCTAGGAAAATGCCTGAGTCAAAGGCAATACTATAAAAAGTTGGTGAACTCTCTCATGAATCTATTCTTTAACAGCTTCAAGCATGCTGTAAAGGTCAAACAGTTTCTAAGTTTATATATAAATATTTTCTAAGTTATATCATGCACTGAGAAATGGAATTTCAAACACTACTACAAAAGTTGTGTCTACATCACATCTATAAGGTCTGAAAATTAAGTTTGCAAACATGCCACTGTATGCTTATTTTGGCAACACTGTACAAACAACTCAGTAAGGTTTTTATTTATTTATTTTTATTTATTTATTTTTTGAGTTGGAGTCTCACTCTGTCACCCAGGCTGGAGTGCAGTGGCATGCTCACCACCACCGGCTGGGCTCAGGTGAACCTTCTACCTCAGCCTTCCAAGCAGCCAGAACTAAAGATGCGTGTCACCACACCTGGCTAATTTTTTGATTTATTGTAGAGATGAGGTCTTGCCAAATTGCCCAGGCTGGTCTTGAACCTGGGAGCTCTGGTAATCCTCTCACCTCAGCCTCCCAAAGTGCTGGGATGATAGGCTTGAGCCACCACACCCAGCCAAGGTTTTATAATCTTGGTATATCAGTGTCTCACAGCTGTGTTTGTATCAATTTGTGGCAGTGTCTTGCTGAGTAGTGTTCATTATTGTTGTTCCATGCTTTTGTGTGCTGTCATGAAAATGTTGGAGCTTGAATTAGAACAATGAACAAATGAAATTTCTTGTTAAGTGTTTTTCTGAGGGGGGAAAAAGTGTCACTGATGAAGAGAGGTCAGGATGGCCAGTAATGAGCAGAACTGACAAAAACATTGCACAAGTTTATCAAATTGTGTGCCAAAATCATCAGTTGACTGTGAGAAGCATAGCAGACCAAATAAACATTCATAGAGAAATCGTTAGCAAAATCTTGCATGAGAAAGGTGTGTGCAAAAATGGTCCTGAAGGAGCTCTTGTATCACGACACTACACCAGCTCACACAGCACCGACTGTGAGGAAGTTTTTAGCCAGTAAACAAATAACTATTTTGGAATACCCTCCCTACTCACCCAATCTGGCCCCCAGAGACATTCTTCTTTATCTGACAATAAAAGAAATACTTAAAGGAAGACATTGTGATGACATTCAGTATATCAAGGGTAATACAACAACAGCTCTGATGGCCATTCCAGAAAGGAGTTCCAAAATTGCTTTGACAAGTAGATTAGGCATTGGTGTTGGTGCATAGCTTCCTAAGGGGAGTACTTTGAAGGTGATGATAGTGATATTAAGCAATGAGTACTTTTTCTAGGATGTTCGTGAACTTAACTGTCAGACCCCATATGCTTGTGTGACTGTCTAGCATACAAGTATAAATATACATATTTGCAAAAATAGTATTTATTATGGATTTTAAAAATAAATGTTCAAAGTCAATTTTTAGGTTTGCAAAGGGAGCAAGGAAGAAGCTCTGTACAATTTAAGTTGGATTGAGGAATGGTGTTTCTGTAGGACTCAGAAAGTCAGCAGTCATCAAGCACATAACCTGTGACTTTCCTTTTCTCTAGAGATTTCAGTCTGGTGACAAACTGGGGACCTGCCAGGAAAGGGCTGCACCAGCCACAGTAGCAACTATGGTTATCTTTTTATCTATAAAACTGTTTTATAGTCAAATATTTAAAAATTTTAAATGCTCTGCTATTGGGATGAAACTCTCCATTTTCATCACCAATAGATATTAGAGAGCACATTCTAAAAACCAGCAAAGTAGTTCTTTTTTTTTTGAGTCAGAGTCTCACTCTGTCACCCAGGCTGGAGTGCAGTGGCATGCTCACCACCACTGCAGCCTCAACCTGCTGGGCTCAGGTGATCCTTCCACTTCAGCCTTCCAAGTAGCTGGAACTACAGGCGTGTGCTACCACGCCCAGCCAATTATTTTTTTGATTTATTGTAGAGATGAGGTCTCGCCAAGTTGCCCAGACTGGTCTCGAACCCATGGGCTCAGGGAATCTTCTCACCTCAGCCTCCCAAAGTGCTGGGATTATAGGTGTGAGCCACTGCGCCTGGCCAGCAAAGTATTTCTATGTTAAGCAAGGTCACAATAAACATGAATAATTGTATAGAAAAAAAATAGCTGGGCACAGTGGCTGATGCCTTTAATGCCAGCACTTTGGTAGGTCAAGGTAGGAAGAATGCTTGAGCTCAGGAGTTCAAGACCAGCCTAGGCAAAATAGTGAGAACTTGTCTCAACAAAAAAATTAGCCAAGTGTGGAGGAGCATCTGTAATACCAGCTACACAGAAGGCTGAGGCGGAAGAACAGTCTGAGTTCAGGAGGTTACGATTGAGACTGCAATGAGCAGTGATTGTGCCACTGCACTCCAGCTTGGGCAACAGTGAGATCCCAATTAAAAAAAAAAAAGACAGCCGGGCTCGGTGGCTCAGCCTGTAATCCCGCGCCTTTGGGAGGCTGAGGTGAGTGGATTGCCTGAGCCCGCGGGTTCGAGACCCGCCTGGGCAACTTGGCAAGACCTCATCTCTACAATAAATCAAAAATTAGCCAGGTGTGGTAGCGCGCACCTGTAGTTCCAGCTACTTGGAAGGCTGAGGCGGCAGGATTGCCGGAGCTCAGCAGGTCGAGGTTGCAGTGGCCAGGAGCAGCCACTGCACTCCAGTCTGGGTGACAGAGTGAGACTCCAACTCAAAAAAAAAAACGACTAAAATAGACAAGTTGAAACAGGACTATGAACTACAACTTACCAACTACTTCATCATCTGGTTGAAAGAATGATACCTTGTTTCCAACTAAAGAGTGGAGAAAAGTAATAGTTAATATTATATGGTTATTAAATATAATTCTTAATTTACTACTGAAATAAATTTAAAAAATTTTTATTTATGATTTTATATTTTAATTAGAGACAAGGTCTTGCTATGTTGCCCAGGCTGGTCTCGAACTTTTGTGATCAAGCAATTCTTTTTTTTTTTGAGTCGGGAGTCTCACTCTGTCACCCAGACTGGAGTGCAGTGGCCGCTCCCGGCCACCGCAGCCTCAACCTGCTGGGCTCCGGCGATCCTTCCACCTCAGCCTTCCAAGTAGCTGGAACTACAGGTGCACGCTACCACGCCTGGCTAATTTTTTGATTTATTGTAGAGATGAGGTCTGGCCAAGTTGCCCAGGATGGTCTCAAACCCGTGGGCTCAGGCAATCCATTCACCTCAGCCTCCCAAAGCGCGGGATTACAGGCTTAGCCACTGAGCCTGGTCATGATCAAGCAATTCTTTTGCCTCAGCCTCCCAAAGTGTTGGGATTACAGGTGTAAGTCTCCACACCCAGCCCAAAATAAAATTTCAAAATCTGTGATTTTATAAAAATAAAAAGTCTCTGAGAGAAAAGGCCAAGAACTTCTAAGACATTTTGGTGGTCTATAAGGACTGTAGGATAGAGCACTTCATATCTATTTGTCTTGAAAATCTGGGGCATGTGCTTTGTTTTGTTTTGTTTGGGCATGTGTTTTGTTTTGTTTTTTGAGTTGGGGTTTCACTCTGTTGCTCTGGCTGTGGAGTATAGTGGCATGATCACAGCTCATCACAGCCTTGACCTCCTGGACTCAGGCAATCCTTCCACTCTAGCCTCCCAAGTAGCTGGAACTACAGGTGTATATCACCATGCCTTGGTAATTTTTTGCTTTTTTCTTTTTGGTACAGTTGAGGTCTTTCTACATTGCTTAGGATGGTCTCAAACTCCTGGGCTTGAGCAATTCTCCTGCCTCAGTTTCTCAAAGTGCTGGGATTACAGGTGTGAGTCATCATGCCTTGGCCTGTTTAAATTTTAAATGCTCAATTTTAGGTGAACTTCAAAAACTTTATGTGATATACTTTCTGATTGTTAAATTTTGGCAAAAAGCTAACTGGTGCAAGTAATTTATGCTAGTGTAAACACATGAAAAGGACAATATTGGTCACTCAATTCAAAACATGATTACTTGTGGATTTAAATACATAATCCCACTGGGCATGGTGGCTCATGCCTGTAATCCCAGCACTTCGGGAGGTGGAGGTGAGAGGATTGGCTGATCCCAGAGGTTCAAGTCCAGCCTGGGCAACTTGGCAAGACCTCATCTCTAAAGCAAGTCAAAGAAAAAAAAAAAAAAAGCTGGATATGGTGGTACACACCTTTGATTCCAGCTACTTGAAAGGCTGAGACAAAAGGAACACCTGAACCCAGTTCAAGACTGCGGTGGTCATGAGTATGCCACTGCACTCAAGTCTGGAACAGAGTGTGACTCTAACTCAAAACAAATACATAAATAAATAAACAAACAAATCATCCCTAAATCTGTACTAAACTGTAACAAGTTCTTCAATGATAAAATATCAATTAAGTCCTACTTTAAAAAAAAGAAAGAGGCCAGGCACAGTAGTGCAAGCTGTAGTCCCAGCTATTTGGGAAAATGAGGCAATAGGCTTGCTTGAGCCCATGGATTCGGGCTGTAACACACTATGATCAGCTTGGGCAATACAGCAAGAACTCATCTCTCTCTCCCTTTTTTTTTTTAAGCTGGAGTGTCACTGCTGTCTCCCAGGTTGGAGTGCAGTGGCACATTCACGGCCACGGCAGCCTCGACCTGCTGGGCTTAGGCGATCCTTCTGCCTCAGCCTTCCAAGTAGGCAGAACTACAGGCACACGCCACCACACCCAGATAGTTTTTATGATTTACTGTAGAGATAAGTTCTCACCAATTTGCCCAGGCTGGTCTCGAATCCTTGGGCTCAGGCAATCCTCTCACCTCAGCCTCTCAAAGTGCTGGGATTACAGGCTGAGCCACCATGCCCAGCCTTTTTTTTTTTCATTTTTTTGAGTTGGAGTCTCACTCCGTCGCCCAGGCTAGAGTGCAGTGGCACGTTCATGGCCACCCCAGCATCCACCTGCTGGGCTTAGGCAAGCCTTCTGTCTCAGCCTTTCAAGTAGCTGGAACTACAGGCGTGCACTACCATGCCTGGCTAATTTTTAAAAAAAATTTATTGTAGAGATGAGGTCTTGCCAAGTTACCCAGGCTGTTCTCGAACCCGTGGGTTCAGACAATCCCCTCATCTCAGTTTCCCAATGTGCTGGGATTACAGGCTTGAGCCACTGCACCCGGCTAAGAACTCATCTCTTTGGAAAAAAAAAAAGGGACAACATTTTTGTATAATTAAGTTTTTATATTTGAAGGGGTATGTATAATTTTATGTGCTGGCAAAATAATTAGTTACAATTAATTTCCTTTACCTTAAAAAATAAATTCAGATATATTATATATAAATAGACATAGCCAGGCATGGTGGCTCATGCCTATAATCCCAGTACTTTGGGAGACCAAGATGGGAGGATTGTTTGAGGCCAGGAGTTTGAGACCAGCATGGGCAACACAGTAAGACCTCATCTCTACAAAAAAAAAAAAAATAGATTTATTATATAAACCTACCATCTAACACAGTTCCAGCAATTTCTCTCCCAACAGGAAAGAAATCCTTCTTCATCTTCATTTCTGTCAGAAGCTAAATAATAACAAATGCTGTCAATACATTATTGTCAAGAATAAATCCTGGTCTCTCTCATACATAAGGAAAGTGAAAGCAAAAATCAAATCACAGAAAGAGCAAATATAATTCAATTTTTGGAATTAAGGCAAAGCAAATAAGTTAATAAAATAGGTTTCTCTATAGGGTAGGAAACCACGAGTCTGCTGAGGAATTAGATAACATTTAAGATTAGGAATGAGTATTATTAATCAAATCTATTTGAATAACTATTAACATCCTGTATTTAACATCTTTACTCTGCCAAATATGAAGGGAAATTATGACTAAAACATTTCTTGGTTGGCAAAACACTATTTATCAATCATCTCATTCAGATGGGGTAAGGGAGTCTGGAAAGGACATTGATGAGGGGGATGTGGCCAATGCAAACAAAATTCCCACAACCTTCAAAAATCGCCTGAGTTATTCTAACAAGTCTTGGATTAGGATACAGGCAGGAAGAAGTGATATTCATAGGGAAACTGCCACATGATTTCTGATTCATGGTGACTGAAGTTTTTTTAAGGCTAAATTTTTATTTATTTTTTATTTTTTGAGTCAGAGTCTCACTCTGTTGCCCTGGCTAGAGTGCAGTGGCATGCTCACAGCTACTGCAGCCTCGACCTGCTGGGTTCAGGCGATCCTTCTAGCTCAGCCTCCCAAGTAGCTGGAACGACAGGTGTGTGCCACCACGCTCAGCTAATTTAAATTTTTATTTTTAAGAGATTAGTATTTTGTTAGATTCCGACTAAATTAAGTACAAGTGATGTCATTTGAAGTAACAGAGTATACTTAGATAAGCCTATAGTTTAAGTTCCTGATATTTATATAATAATACTAGAGATGTTGAACATATTTGTAGATATAATAGTATTTTAGGAACAATATATAAAAATAAATGGAAATAATTATCTTCTATATTTTCTTTATAATTGTTTAGGCTTCTGTATGTATGTATACTTGATTTTCAGAAGTCTCTTTTTCAATGTAGAACACACTATTTTTCCTAAAATGATCATATGATATTATTGAGGGTTTTATAGTATTTCTTTTCTTTTTTCTTTTTTGAGTTGAGATTTCACTGTCACCCAGGCTGGAGTGAAATGGCACCATCATGATGATCATGGCTCACAGCAGCCTTGACCTCCTGGGCTCAGGTGATCCTTCCACCTCAGTATTCTGAGTAGCTGGGAATACAAGTGGGCACCACCCCCAGCTTATTTTTTATTTGTTTGTTTGTAGAGACAGAATTTGCTGTGTTGCATAGGCTGGTCTTGAACTCCTGGGCTCAAGCAATCCACCCACCTCAACATCCCAAAGTGCTGAGATTTCAGGCATGAGCCACCACACTCAGCCATAGTAATTTTTTATGCACAGTTTTACAGAATTATAGTCATGATTTTAGCAGTTGTATCCTGTGCCTCCTTCTCTTACCATAACAGTTTTCATAACTGTTATGTTTAATGTATGCAATATTTCATTCAACTGATCTTATCATAATATACCATTTCTTTCTGTTAGAGAGGTTATTTCCTAGATTTGGATTTTAATTATTTCCAAGACTTGGGTTTTTTATAGTTTCCATAAGAACATTTTCTGAAGACAGAAGTTTGCAGACAATCTGGGTGTGGTGGCTTCCAGCACTTTGGGAGACTGAAGCAAGAGGACTGCTTGAGCCTGGAGCTCAAGATCAGCCTAGGCAACACAATGAGACCTCGGTTTTTACAAACAAACAAAAAAATTAGCTGGGTATGGTGGTGAGTGCCTATATTCCCAGTCACTTGGAAGGCTGAGGTGGGAGGATCACTTGAGTCCAAAAATTTGAGGCTGCTGTGAGCCATGATTGTGACACTGCATTCCAACCTAGGTGACAAAGTGAGATCCCCAGCTCAAAATGAATGAATATATGCATAAACAAAATAAAATCTGAAAGAAAATAAAATAAAAAATAAAAGTAAAATAAAAAACTGAGAATATGGACCAGTTTTATTTATCATGGCACATTGAATCGTAGTTTATTTACCATATGAAAACTTTCCATGTATTTCACGGTCAATAATGAAAGACCACTGCAATAAGTTTGCTGTGGTGTGAGGCAGAGATGTGTGCTTATGAAAGAGACAAAGAGAAATAACAAGAAGAAGAATATGAACCATATCTAAAGACATTAACCATAAATGTATATATAATTGGTGGTTAATAAATCAACTGATTAGGTTTCTAGTTTCTATATTATTTCCTTACTAATTTCTTCCTTGATAATAGGCCTTCTAATCATAAATTCTCAGCCTTTGCCAGTGTAAAGAAGTTTATAAAATATAAAATATTTTCATATAATGATATAAAATACACATCTTCAATTAGACTAGTAATTTAGCTTAATGTAGAAACATAAAAATGCACGTTAAGTTTTTCCCTAGCTTGTCTATTCTTCTAAGGATGATAAGAATTTCTTGGCATTCACAAATCAGTTATTATACGTGCACACTAAATATACTAAGAAACTCTCATTTGATTTTTGGTCATAGTAAAAGAACCAATACCTTTGTATTTATCTGGCTCAGAGCACAAGCTTTAACTTGAAGTTTCACAAAGTTATCCTCTGTAAGAGGAAGATTTTCCTAGAACCAAATAATAACAAAATAACGTGTTATACATTTCTATGAGAACATGCTTTTGCCCAGTGAAAATTTTCACACATAATTGAACAAAATTATACAGACCCCATATCTTACTGCTAACTTAATTTTCAAAACTATAATTATGCAATAGTACATAATAAAAAAGAATAAAGCAAATATGGGAATATAGTGTTTAAAAGGTTTTAGGGTGGCCAGGTGCGGTGGCTCACGCCTATAATCCCAGCACTTTGGGAGGCTGAGGTGAGAGGATTGCCTGAGCCCATGGGTTTGAGACCAGCCTAGGCAACTTGGAGAGATCTCGTCTCTACAATAAATTTAAAAAAAAAATTAGCCGGGTATGATGGCATGAGCTGGTAGTTCCAGCTAGTTGGAAGGCTGAGTCGGAAGGATCGCCCGAGCCCAGCAGGTCAAGGCTGTGGTGGCTGTGAGCATGCTACCGCACTCCAGCCTGGGCGACAGAGTGACTCCGACTCAAAAGAAAAAAAAAAAGATTTTAGGGTATATATTTTAAAAAGAACTCTGATGCCAACCTGGATATATATGTGTAGACAATGAACTTATGAAAACAAAGTAGAGCAACAAATACTATATTTTATTTCAACCTAAAAAAACTCAAAACATCAGATCTTGACACTTGTAGAAATATCCTTAAACACATATATACACATCATATAGCCCTTACTAACTTTCGGAATTTTCTTAATACTATGAAATTCCTTTTTTTAAATTTTGAAAACTTTTAAATTTATTTTATTTTTTTTCTTTTCTTTTTGGTCCAACAGATCCAATGCTATATAAATGAAATTCTTTAAAGTCATTTGTTCATCTCTCCTTAACATGTGTCTTAGAACATTTAAGAATCCCTATGGGAGCTGGGCTCGGTGGCTCAGCCTGTAATCCCGCGCTTTGGGAGGCTGAGGTGAGTGGATTGCCTGAGCCCGCGGGTTCAAGACCTGCCTGGGCAACTTGGTGAGACCTCATCTCTACAATAAATCAAAATGAGCCGGGTGTGGTAGCGCATGCCTGTAGTTCCAGCTACTTGGAAGGCTGAGGCAGCGGGATCTCCTGAGCCCAGCAGGTAGAGGCTGGGGTGGCCGAGAGCGGCCACTGCACTCCAGTCTGGGCGACAGAGTGAGACTCCAACTCAAAAAAAAAAAGAATCCCCATGAGATTCTGGAGTCAAAACACAAACTTAATACAACTTAATTACCCCTCATAGTCAACTGCCAGATATAACTTTATAGGTAAAAAGAGTCCAAATTCAGGCATTCAATGTCATCCACTTATAATATTAAATATAATATCTCTTCCTCTAAATAACCATATCTTGACACCAATAATTTTTCTTTTCTCTACCTCTAAGATGCCCAAAGTTAGATAAAAAGTTGGTTAAGGATAGCTACTTGTACAGCCCCTCCTATGACCTAATTACTGTCTTTTATTTGCCACAAACACAATACTCTTGAGCACAAATTTTTAAATTCAGATTTGATAATATCTGGTGATAATTATATCTGAAGATATTCAATAATATTGATGAGCTTGTGAATTTTACTATTGATTGTGTAAGTCTGGAAACAATTCTTTCCGAGAGTTAATCAAATCTTATCATTTTAGCTAATCACTCTGACCCAGTGGTAGAAGCCAAGCTGTCTGAGATTTAGAATCTTGACCTAAATGTTTTTAGAGTTAGTGAAAGACAAGAAAGAAAAACTGGATTGTGTTCAGGATCCAGAAATTCTTACTATTACTATAAAATACATACATATAGCACTTACCTTTCATTCCTAAATTTAAAATGGAATGATTCTAGACGGCCACAAACCTTTCTAATTATCACCACTACTGTATAAGAAAATTCTACTATCTATGCTTAACATATTAAATAACTAGAGATCATTTAAAGCTTAGTAAATGAGGTAACTTTAGCAAGCCTTGAAATATGTGTGAAAAACAATGTTTTTCTACCTCTTACATTTCACAATATAAGACAAAGTATTTTCTGAAATATGACTACATTCTGAAAATTGGTATTATTGTGGTGTTCAGAATAAGTTGTGTCAATTTTGCAACATGTGACTATTAAGGTTGTTCTGTTTTCTGAATACCTTTCACACAATGACCCTTGGAACTAAAAACCCTTTCATAGCAACTCTTTAAAAAATATATTTTAAAGTCAGTGGAATACCTCCAGCTTTGTTCTCTTTGCTCAAGATTATTTTGGGTATTCAAGGTCTTTTGTGGTTCCATATAAATTTTAGGATTTTTTTCTGTTTCTGAGAGAAATGTCATTGGTATTTTGATAGGGATTGCATCGAATCTTTAGTTCATTTTGGGTAGTATGGAGATTTTATCAATATTAATTATTCCAATTAACAAATAGTATATCTTTCCATTTACTAGTATCCTTATCAATTTCTTTCATCAATGTTTTATAGTTTTCACTATATAGATTTTCTATCTCCTTGGTTAAATTTATTCCTAGGCATTTAATTTATTTTTTGGTAGCCATTGTAAATGGAATTGCTTTCTTAACTTCTTTTCAGGTAGTTTACAATTGGCATATGGAAATGCTACTAATTTTTGTATGTTAATTTTGTATCCTGCAACTTTACTGAATTTGTTTATTAGATCTAATAATTTTTTTGGTGAAATCTGTAGTTTTCTGTATTTAATATCATGTTGTCTAAAAAAGGGAACAATTTGACTTCCTTATTTCCAATATGGATGCTCTTTATTTACTTCTCTTGCCTAATAACCCTAGCTGGGAATTCCAGTACTATGTTGAACAAAAGTGGTAAAAGTGGGCATCTTGCTTCAGATTTTGATGTTCATTACATTGTTTAGCTGTTGGTTTGTTATATTTATTTATTTATTTATTTGAGTTGGAGTCTCACTCTGTCACCCAGACTGGAGTGCAGTGGCCACTCCCGACCACTGCAGCCTTGACCTGCTGGGCTCCGGCGATCCTTCCGCCTCAGCCTTCCAAGTAGCTGGAACTACAGGCGCGTGCTACCACATCCAGCTAATTTTTTTGATTTATTGTAGAAATGAGGTCTCACCAAGTTGCCCACGCGGGTCTCGAACCCATGGGCTCAGGCAATCCACTCACCTCAGCCTCCCAAGGCACAGGATTACAGGCTGAGCCACTGAGCCCGGCGGTTTGTTATATTTATATTATTTATTACAGCTTTATTGTTTTTAGGTATGTTCCTTTTATACCTAATTTGTTTAGAGGTTTTATCATGAAAATATGTTGAAGTTTATCAAATGGTTTTTCTGTATCTGTTAAAACAGATGATCATATTTTTTTTTTTTGAGTAGGAGTCTCACTATGTCGCCCAGGCTGGAGCGCAGTGGCATGCTCATAGTCACCACAGCCTCGTCCTGCTGGGCTTTGGTGATCCCTCTGCCTCAGCCTTCCAAGTAGCTGGAACCAAGCGCATATCACCATGCCTGGATAATTTTTTGATTTATTGTTGAGACGAGGTCTCACCAAGTTGCCCAGGCTGGTCTTGAGCCCCTGGACTTAGGCAATCCTCTCGCCTCCGCCTCCCAAAGTGCTGGGATTACAGGCATGAGCCACTGTGTCCAGCTAAGATGATCATATGGTTTTTGTCCCTCATTCTGCTAATGTGATATCTCTATTTATTGATTTGCATATGTTGAAATGTCCTTTCATCCCTAGGATGAATCCCACTTGATCATGGCTGTCACGGAAATGCAAATCAAAAACTCCACTTAGAATGACTATTATCAGGTGGGACATGGTGGTTCATGCCTGTAATCCCAGCACTCTGGGAAGCTGAGGTGGGAGAATTGCTGAGCCCAGGAGTTCAAGACGAGTCTGGGCAACATAGTGAGACCATGTCTCTACAAAAAACAAAAAAATTAGCGGGTGTGATGGCATGTAGTCCTAGCTACTCAGGAAGCTGAGTTGGAGGACTGCCTGAGCCCAGGAGGTTGAAGCTCCAGTGAGCTGTGATTGTGCATGGCTATTATAAAAATGACAAAAAATAACAAACGCTGGCAAGAATGTGGAGAAATGTGAACTTATATGCTGTTTGTTGGTGGTAATATAAATTAGAACAGCCATTAGGAATAACAGTATGGAGGTTCCTCAAAAAATTAAAATGAGTACTACCATATGATCAAACAATCCAACTACTAAGCATATATCAAAAGAAAATGAAATCAATATGTCAAAGACATAGTTGCACCTCCATGTTTACTGTAACACTATTCACAATAGGCAAGATATGGAATAAATCTAAATGTCCATCAAGGAATGAATGGATAAGGAAAATGTGGAATATACACACAATGGAATATTATTCAGCAATAAAAAAATAACAAAATCCAGCAGGATGTGGTCGCTTATGCCTATAATCCCAGGACTTTGGGAGACTGAGGTGGGAAGATCACTCGAGTCCAGTAGTTTGAGACCAGCCAAAAAATTAAAAAAAAAAAAAAATCGCCAGATGTGATGGTATGTTCCTGCAGGCCCAGTTACTTGGGAGGCTGAGGCAGGAGGGCTGCTTGAGTCTAGGAGTCTGAGGTTGCAGTGAGAATGATTACACCACTGCACTCCAGCTTGAGCAACAGAGTGAGACTCTGTCTCTAAAAAATAAATACATAAATCAAATCCTGTCATTTGCAACTACACAGATGAGTCTAGAGGATGTCATGTTAAGTGAAATAAACCAAACATAAAAGGACAAATACTGCATGATCTCACTCATATGTAGAATCTAAAACAGTAGATCTCATAGAATAAAAAGTATAATAATGGTAACCAAATGCTGGGGAGAGCAAATGGGAAAGGGAGATGGGGAGAGGTTGGTCAAGAGGTACAAAGTTGGCCGGGCTTGGTGACTCAGCCTGTAATCCCAGGACTTTGGGAGGCTGAGGTGAGTGGATTGCCTGAGTCCACAGGTTAGAGACCAGTCCAGGGAACTTGGTGAGACCTTGTCTCTACGATAAATGAAAAATTAGCCAGGTGTGGTAGTGCATGCCTGTACTTCCGGTTACTTAGAAGGCTGAGGCAGAAGGATTGCTAGAGCCCAGCAGGTCATCGTTGGGTTGGCCTGTGAGTGCACCACTGCACTTCAGCCTGGGCGACAGAGTAAGATTCCAACTCAAAAAAAAAAAAGAAAAGAAAAAAAGAGGTACAAAGTTACAGTTAGATAGGAGGAATAAGTTCTGATTTTTCTATTGCAATGTATTGTTTATTTCAAAGAAGCTAGAAGACAGGATTTTGAATGTTCTTACCACAAAGTAACAAGTGTTGGAGGTGATGAATATGCTCATTACCCTGATTTAATCATTATACAATGTATACATGTATCAAAACATTGCACCGTACTCCAGAAATATGTACAATTATTATATGTCAATTACCTAAAATAATATAGTTATATTACAATATGAACCACTATTTTCCCATAAAGATTTTTTTTTCCGAGTCAGAGTCTTATTCTGTTGCCCAGGCTGGAGTACAGTGGCATGTTCATGGTAACCGCAGCCTTGATTTACTGGGCTCAGGCAATCCTTCCACCTTAGCCTTCCAAGAAACTGGAACTACCAGTACATGCCACCATGCCCAGTTAATTTTCTGATTTATTGTAGAGATGAGGTCTCACCAATTTGCCCAGGCTGGTCTCGAACCCATGGGCTCAGAGAATCCTCTCACCTTGGCCTCCCAAAGTGCTGGGGATTACAGGCATGAGCCACTGCACCTGGCATCACATGAAGATTAAAGGAAAGTATTATAATGTGAAGAGAGTCATTTGAATAATTTTTGCTCATTTAGTTCCACTCAACAGGTGATTTAAAAGTGGGTCTCTTACATATGGAAAATACAATATCTTGTTTCATTTAATGATTAACCAATTTTTCTTACCCTTTCTTGAAACAGAAATGTCATTTCTTCATTTGTAGAGTTCTGTTGAAAATATAAGCCTTTCATAGTTACCTTTAAAAAAATAAAAAATGTATATATGAAATAAAGAAACAAAGTCTTCTGGACCAAGTGAAAGCAAACATTAAAAAACAGGGTTAGCAAAGGATAAAATGACAACTATATATGTAGTTTTCAAATAAATATATCTAGGTCATCATTCTTTTACAAAGCGATCACATAATATACAACAATCTGGGTTCATATCTTACTGAGAATGGGTTTAGAGTTAAAACTTTTACTATAAGGGTGAACACATGTCTAACTCACTTTCCCATTCAACAGAAAATATCAGATGTACTTTAAAAAAAAAACCCCAAAAACCTTATGATGGTCAGAGCAGCTCAATTTTATTTATAGAGTTAAATAAAATTTACCTTCCAATTTACCAGTTTACCAAAGGCTTTCAAAGACCATTAAAAAGAAAAAAAGTGAAATTATGAACTTTGCAGCAACCTGGATGGAATTAGAGTCTATAATAGTCTATAATACTCAAAGACCGAGCACCACATGTATTCACTCATAAGTGGACACTGAAGATTTATCATAATACTATAAGAAAGGGATTGGCAGTAGTGGGACATTGCCCAGGGAGGAGAGGACATATAACGTCAATAAGGGTACCCACAGTTTACCTGTATGATGGCCACGTATGTACCTAACCCTCATTTGTATTCCACATTTTAAAAATAAAATAAATTATTTTTTAAAAAAAGAGGCTGGGCTTGGTGGTTCAGTCTGTAATCCCAGCATTTTGGGAGGTCGAGGCAAGTGGATTGCCTGAACCCGTGGGTTTGAGACTAGCCTGGGCAACTTGGTGAGACCTCGTCCTTACAATAAATGAAAAATTAGCCGGGCGTGGTAGAGTGCACCTGTAGTTTTGGCTACTTGGAAGGCTGAGTTGGAAGGATAGCAGGAGCCCGACAGGTCGATACTGGGATGACTGTGAGTGTGTCACTGCACTTCAGCCGGGGTGACAGAGTGAGACTCCAACTCAAAAAAAAAAAAAAAAAAGTGAACAGCCAAGACACTGGTTGAAATTGAGGTCCTAATTATTCTCAGCATCAGTCTATAAACCAGTCAATGGAAATATTTAAACCTGTACACTGTGAACTTCATGAAACATCTCTAAGGATTCCACATTGTTTAATTTTTATAGTAATCTATGATGAGATTATCTTTTAAAGGGTAAATTTTATAGAAGTATGAAATACATAAAGAAAAGTACACAACCCCTATGTATATAGCTGGATCAATGTTACAACATGAATATACCCACGATGTGTCACAAGAAACACATCATCACTAGAACTCAGGTAGCATCTTGTACCCCTTCTAGTCACTACCTTCTCTCCCTCTCTTAATGATGCCCAATACCCTAATTTTTTTTTTTTTGAGTTGGAGTCTCACTCTGTTGCCCAGACTGGAGTGCAGTAGCCGCTCCCCGCCACCACAGCCTCAATCTGCTGGGCTCCGGTGATCCTTCCGCCTCAGCCTTCCAAGTAGGTGGAACTACAGGCGTGTGCTACCACGCCTGACTAATTTTTTTGATTTATTGTAAAGATGAGGTCTCGCCAAGTTGCCTGGTCTTGAACCTGCGGGCTCAGGCAATCCATTCACCTCGGCTTCCCAGAACGCTGGGATTACAGGCTAAGCCACCGAGCCCGGCCTCTAATTTTTAACAGCACAGATTGTGTCTGTTTTTGAACTTTTATGTAAATGAAATTATATTTCCTTTTGTCTGTTTTCTTTCTTTCAATGTTATGTTTGTAAGTCTCACTCATATTGCCGCTTGTAGTCATAGTCCATTCATTCTCATCGCTGTGTAGTATTCTGTTGTATAAACACATTATTATTTATAAACATATTATTATCCATTTATATTTATAAAGATATTTATAAACATATTATTATCCATTCCACCATAGACAGACATTTGAATGGTTTCCAGTTTGGGGCTCTACAAACTGTCCTATACATACTTTTTAGAAAAGTACTATTATTGCATTTATTTTATGAATGAGGAAACTCAGTCATGGAGGGGTTAAAGTACATACCTGGGTCTTAGCACCAGCTGGGCTGGAACTGGAATATAAACCAGGTGCTACTGATTCCAAAGTCATTACTTTTAACCATTACATTTAATAGTTTTCTACTGAGCTGCTAATATTAGACATATCAGTTAAAAGTGGAAAACTTTATCTTTTAGGATAATTATTAAGATTTGGCAATAGAACTGGCTACATAATTTGCAGGGCCTAGTGCAAAATGAAAATGTGGGGAATCTTGTCCAGAAATTAAAATGTCAAGACAGCAGAGTATTAAATGAAGTACAGGTCCCTTCTGAGTGTAAGGTCAAGTAAGACTGTGTAGGTCACATACCAGTAAAGTCAATGTGTTGAATCTTAGTAGATCTATTTGTATTCATAATATGTAAAGAGTTTTTTAAGCAAGTGTAGTTGAGCAGTGGCTGCTGGTTTCTAGAATGTGATAATCAAATGTTGGAAATTAAAAAAATGAATATACATTCAGGGCATATTTAGAAATTAAGGTATGGGGCTGGGCACAGTGGCTCACACTTGCAATCCCAGCGCTTTGGGAGGTAGAGGTGGGAGGATTCCTTGACTCCAGGAGTTCGAGACCAGCTTGGGTAACATAGCGAGACTTCATCTCTATAAAAAAATCAAAAAATTAGCTGAGTGTAGTGGTGCACGTCTGTAGTCCCAGTTACTTGGGAGGCTGAGGTAGAAGGTCACCTGAGCTTAGTAGGTTGAGGCTGTGGTGAGCTGTGATCATGCCACTTCATTCCAGCCTGGGCAATAGAGTGAGATTCTGACTCAAAAAAAAAAAAGAGAAATTAAAGTATATAGTATGAATCATCAAAATATCTAAAAACAGAATTAAGCTAGGTCAAAGGACAAATTAATTAGTTACAAGGTCTTTATTTGTGTCAATGTGCTAGGGGCAGTGAGAACATAAGCATAGATACAGCAGCTATGTATTTCCCACAACATTAAATCTAATCTCTTTTGCCTAACTTTAACGGCTCTCTAAAACACATACCCACTCTCCTTAGTATACTGTACTCTTCCTACAGTTTTCCAACACATACTCTGCCTGATCTAGCCAGTATGACTTCATATCATATGATTACTTCCTATCTCTGTCCTTACTGGCATGGCCTGTTTTTGAGATAATGCTACTTTACAGATTCTGCTAAGTAAACAAAGCTCAAGTCCTATCCCCTCTCTGGATTCATCCCCAGTAACACTCAATCTACCCCATCTGTTCCATGCTTCTAGATTTCACTACATATTAACAAACAAAACCTTGTTTTACTTACTTACTAGCCAGTGGGCTTTCCTACCATTGCTTTGTAGAATCAATATTCATTATTGTTAAATAAATGAATCGATGTTACTACTCAGTCTGGAGCTAATAAGGTTGCCTTTCTGAGAAGTGGAACAATTACATATCAACACCTTGTTTTCAAAGCATCTCTCTTTGTGATTCTGTACGCCGCTATTTTCTTTGTCCAGTGAACCTTAAAACATATGGCAGGTCTCCCAGACCAGCAGTCACATGGACTGTGCCCCAATTTTAAAGACCCTGAAAGATAAGTGCTTGTTTGAAATCTCTTAAAGCAAACACTATATACAAAATAATGCCAATATTTTTAGTATATCAGCCTAAATAATTCCTCCAAATTAGGTGAAAATTGTTTTGGATGGTGGAAAAAAGAAATGTTTAGATGGTCCAATTAATAAGTGTGTGGGAACAAAAATTTCCTTAAAGTTACAAAGTAAAGAAAGAGATGTATTTTTACAAGAGTGCCAGGAAAAAACTGAGAAAATATTTGTTTTACAACCCCCTCCCAAAAGAATACTTAGTTCCTAGAACTAAGAAAATGGTAGAATAGATGATATTTAAGACCTACATGGTTTCCCAGGCAGATTAAATGAATAATTAGTTTATTACTATTCAATAAAATATCTATTGACTTGAAAGATATCTGTACACAGGATATGAAAGAATTGAACATTTTGTAAAATTAAAATATATACTACTTCTGACATTTCCCTTTTTTTTTTGAGTTAGAGTCTTACTCTGTCGCCCAGACTGGAGTGCAATGGCTGCTCCTGGTCACCGCAGCCTCGACCTGCTGGGCTCCTGCGATCCTTCCGCCTCAGCCTTCTGAGTAGCCAGAATTACAGGCGAGCGCTACCATGCCCGGCTGATTTTTTGATTTATTGTAGAGATGAGGTCTCGCTGCCCAGGTGGGTCTCGAACCCGCGGGCTCAGGCAATCCACTCACCTCAGCCTCCCAGAGGCGCGGGATTACAGGCTGAGCCATCGAGCCCGGCATGAAACTTTTTAATGACAATAAATCTGTTTTAAAATGTAGGCTAGGTCAGGCTTGGTGGCTCAGCCTGTAATCCCAGCACTTTGGGAGGCTGAGGCAAATGGACTGCCTGAACCAGGCTGAGGCAAATGGACTGCCTGAACCAGCGGGTTCAAGAGCAGCCTGGGCAACTCGGCGAGACCTCATCGATACAATAAACCAAAAACTAGCTGGGTGTGGTAGCATGCGCCTGTAGTTCCGGCTACTCGGAAGGCTGAGGCGAAGGATCGCTGGAGCCCAGCAGGTCGAGGCTGCAGTGGCCAGGAGCGTGCCACTGCACTCCAGTCTGGGTGACAGAGTGAGACTCCAACTTAAATAAATAAATAAAAATAAAATATTGGCAGAGGCCAGGCGTGGTGGCTCACACCTATAATCCCAGCACTTTGGGAGGCCAAGGTGAGAGAATAGCCTGAGCTCACGGGTTCTAGACCAGCCCAGGCAACTTGGTGAGACCTCTTCTCTACAATAAATAAAAAAATTAGGTGGGCATGGTGGCGCATGCCTGTAGTTGCAGCTACTTGGAAGGCTGAGGTGGAAGGATAACCTGAGCCCAGTAGGCTGAGGCTGTGGTGGCCGTGAGTGTGCCACTGCACTTCACCCTGGGTGACAGAAT